CCCTCTTGGGTGAATTATTTACTCGAACTTTTGCTCGAGCAGAGTACATAGGCCACCTACTTTGGGAAAAACAAGAAGGATCTATTTAGAAATCAAAGTAGCGTTGTTTTTTGATTCCCCCCCCCCCCCCTCGGAATAATCTAACGAGCCCTTTTTTGAATCTTGGTTATCGATCTCGAGTCCATGGCTACGGGGTGCCGTTGAGGGAGTTGATTTTTCATTCTCAATCCGAAAATGTATAACTCGTGATTAAAGTACCCAACCATGTATATGTATAGAGAGGGGGGTCGTATATTAAGCATCGGGTGCAAACGCGGCCACGGAGCAAGTTTCAGGGCAAAGTTTTCGCAACAGCACGTGTAGGGTCTTACCCTCGAGTTCGTTCTAGGACGGGTAAATTGGAGCTTGGCTCCTATACTAAAAACCACTTCGACCGAGCTCATAAAAAATGTTTACTCCCCAAGCCCAACCCCCATCCGATATAGAAGCGAATCTGACGGGCGACGCGAAGGAGAGGAAAAATCAACCCTGGCGTCTCATCAGGGAAAAATAAACTTTTTTTTTTCTTTTTTTCCACACACCCCCCCCCCATGAGATAGAGTCCCCCTCGTTCGTTACTACGGGGTTTTCCGGTAAGGAAGAAATAGATTTTCATGTACGAGTTGCACCATATGACATAATATATACGTACACAGGTCGCAGCTCCCGGCCGGGGATCCACGGGTATACGTACATATATATATATGTATCGCTATAAAAACTCTCGCCAGTAAGACGGATAAGCTGCAACATATTTAACTATGCCACACAAAACTACTGTGTGTACATGCAGGTACATGTGAGCTCCGGCGCGGGTGCCATAGCAACAGGTTGCCCGCCGCTCCGGAAATTTCACGAGCGCCGATCTGCTGCGCCGACGCGCGTAGGTACATATATGTATATATAGGGTATTGGGTACCAAAGACTTTCGCTTTCTCCGGATCTGATCTCCCTCTGTTTTTGCTTCTCGTATCGGTTTCATTTCGGAGTTTGTTCTAAATTTTTTTCCGCATACGTATAGCTCGAGTAGGGTGTATTTCAGCGGGCTTGTAATTCCCTCTCTTCCACGCGTGACCCGGACGGAGGTAATTAAAAAAAAAAAAAAAAAGGGTTTCCTCCAGGAGTGCCGGTCAAGCTTTCTTTGTCCCTTTGGCTAAAAAAAAAAAAAAAAAAAAGAAAATCCTCATCACACGCGCCCCAGCGTGTTTGTAAAACACAATCACTCGCGCTTCGGTGAAGGCTCGCTTTCCTGTGTGTTTCCTTTTCAGCTCTCTACACTCGTTTGTGCTCGTCGCACTTTGCGTCATTCAAAAGGGATCGTTATTGCGTATCATGTACAAGTGTGCTTTCTCTCCGTCCAACTTTTCACTTCTCTCGCGTAGGTACATGTTTTGCACTCGAGGACAAAAAATAACCAAGCAGCTAAACGTGAATTTGGATTGAACCCTATGCGTGTAAGGAGGTCGCAGTTCAAGAGTCGCGGGGTTGTAATTGAAACGCAGGGCCGGGCAAAATCGAGTCGCTCGCGCGGTATGTTGGTGCTGTTAATCCGATGACCCTCGCGTCTATACGCGCAGCCGCTCCGTGTTGTATATTATGTGCGCGTACGAGCACGCGGTGACGGTGAATATCCAATAATTTTACGGGGGTGCAGGGGACGTTCCGATTAGAAAAATCATCGCGCAATGCGTCGCGCCACCGGATATTTCGGGGTTTTCAATCTATGCGCTTGTGCCCTCTCATCTGCACCAATATATTTGTATAATACGTCGATACAATCAGAGAAAAAACATCATGTAAATTGTAAAGAAATTCCAATCTGCTCTTCACTTAATCGGATTCGAGTTGGCAAAGTAGGAAAAACTTATTATATTGTTTAAACAGTGAGAATTATGGTTCGAAATGTAAAAATTACTATGCTGGAAAGTAAAATTTATTAACCGATAACCCTTGTAAGGTTTACTGTTTAAACTTTGCTGGAACTCCTCTGTAACTTTTATTATTATTTTTTCTCAGTATAGAGACAACGTAGCGTTCACCGAGCTCTTGGACGCTCTATTGGACTCTCTCTCTTTTTTTTTTTTTTATATGCATGCGTGTTCCACATGTCGTACAAATATGTGCACACCACTCGTTCCGCATGAAATCTGATATAAAATCAATGAAACAGCAAGGGTTGCGAGAGGGGCACTCCACTCCACCTAGTTTGCAAGTCGTTACGGCCCCCCGTATACGACAGCCGCGTGAAAGGAAAAGTCTATACATTACTCTCCGCGGCACGTATACACGCACTTTTAAACAATTATTACGTGTGCGGGTTTCATAGCGCACAGGGACGCGCGTACAGAGGACTGTTCGTGGGTAAATTGATTTCGCGCGCCGACGATCGATAACTTTGGCCCCATCGGGACGGAATACAGGCCACGACACGTATAGTTTATAGGCCACGTATTTTTTGTCCCAAGTTTGCGCAGTGCGTGTTTTTTTTTTTTTTTTTTCATCTCCAGTCATCTTGATTTATAACGCAAGAAAGGGTGCTCATACCTATAAGGTATCACATCATCAACGCTCGCGAGTATATCATCAAAACTTATCACAATAAAACGATAAATATCGACCGTTAGTGAGAATCACTATAGTACACAACGTGTAGTATTATTACGTGTGTACAACAAGTCCACCCATCATCACTTGTATGTACCAAAAAATTCAGCACTTCTAATTAACTCTCTAATATCATGGTAGATATACAATTACATTGTAATATGGTAACGCAACGCGTGTCAACGGTATACATAATATCGTATACACGCGGTACACAAGCAGACACCGCATTTCGACGTAAACACTCCCGCATCGTCACGCGATAATACGATTATATAATACGCCCATCTGTCAGCGCAGTACCTATACATATTGGATGTGTATATAATTATACATACACCACCAAATGAACCAGAGCGGAGCAACAGTGGTAGTTCGAATTCCGGAGGTTAATCCGGTCCTTCCGCGATGAATCATCGCGAAGCTGGAGCCAAAAGGGCTTTATATATATATATACGTAGGAGGGTAACGATTAATCGGAGAAGAGCATCAGCTGACGGTGGCGCGAAAACAATGGTCCGCCCCCTTTGTTGGGTGATACCCCAGCGCACCTGTATCATCGATCATCATCGCGACTCCGTCAAAGCTCACCTCCACGGCAAAGACATAATTATAACCGTCATTTTATCGCAGCTGAGAAGACCCCACTCCTAGTGTGTACATAAGTGTATACGCGTATCGGGTCATCATATATCATCGCTATACGCGGAGAAGGTCACGCACGGGGGGAAAGATTAACGCGAGATTTCGTACACTCCGACACTCGAGCGTCGCCGGAGCTGCATTATGGAGCCTCTCTCGACCTGCGGTTATTCTTCCGTCACGCCTCGAGAGATTAATACATACGGTTGATTAAGCAGATACCGCGAAACTATGGTAAATTCGGTATGTTCGACCGTGTTGAATAACGTTTAATAATGGAGGTGTGATTACCCCAGTGGTAATTAAAGTTTCAATATTTCGGTGATTGTAGGGACACGAGGTGTGTGCGTTACCGTACCCATGATTTACCGGTACACGTCAGTATAGGCAATAAGATATCTCACAGACGTAGACTCGGTAAACCGAGCGACTTTTTGTATACGAAAGACTCGAGTGCGACGAGGTAATTTCGGGCATGTGTAGGTGCTGTCTTTACCCCCTCGTCTCGAGGAGCCAATGTAAACGTGTGTACCTGTAGGTGTGCGGGCCGACGAGTTGATTACACGGGCGAATTTCGTGCCCAAGGATTTACGATCGCGGTCGCTTATCGATCTCCCCCTCAGCTCGGAACCCGCCGAGCTGAATTACCTTCCCCGCGTGTATACTTTCCCGGAGCGTCTTTCGTGCTGGAAAATGAACGGTTTAACCGTGCTATGAGCGCAGTAGAACAATAAAGAGGGATGGAAGAATGACGGTGCGTCAACTTTGGGCTAACTCGGTTGATGGCCGGGTAGATCACTTTTTTTTTTTTTTTTCATTTGATTGTATTTACGCGCTCACCGAAAGGTTGACGGAGGGAGGGATAAACATTTGGTTTTGTTTTCTCTGGAGCTCGACGGCGACGTCGGGGAGCACGTGATTCGTACCTTCAAAATAACACGATCGGTAGTAGCGCGTTCGGCACCCCGAGGTTGGATCAGCCGATCACGCGCTCCTGGAAGGAGAGGGATCGAGGGGGGGTTGTTTGGCCCGATTGATGCTCCGACGGGGCGAAAGTGTCGGGAAACAGAGACTACACTCGGCTGTCGATCGCCTCCCACGATTACAAAGTCTCATCCCAAAGCGCACTCGAGGCGGCTGATGAGAAGGTATATACACGCACGAACTGTGTGTCCGTATATAGCGGTACATTGCGTCAAGTGCGTGCCAGGAAATTGCCATCGTCGATGCTCGGTATAGTTTTGTCGTGCTTGTGTTTATTTCTTTGTTCGCCCGGCTATTTACGAGATATTGGATCTTCCCCCTTTGGGCCTCCCCACCCGTCAGTCATGGCAATTATTCGATCACGGACATTTGAAGACGCGTCCGCGAGACACTCGAGCTCGAGATCGGAAAGAAAGAAAGAAAAAAAAAAAAAAAAAGTCAATCGTGCAATTAACAAATTTGCATTGAAACCTTCTCTATTGAGGGGCCAATTGCAATTTCACCCCAACTTCGACTGAAACGGTTGGTCCGCTTCCTCCATCGATTAATTTTTCGAGCTAAAACTCTTTAATTGAAGCGAACTTTGCAACTTCAACACTGTGTATACCTACTGCCCTGAACTGTAGTCGCTCGGTATATATTTTGTAGTTATATATTTTGCATATCCCTTAGCTGGAGTCTGGAAGAAAATCAATATTGTGTATAAAAAAAAAAAAAAATTACGTTTCAGGATGCTGGGCAGCGTGGGAGGCCGGCACGTTTCGACGCGCCGGCGGGGCAGCAGTCCAATGGTGCGGGGACTGTCGGGCCTCGGCAGTTACGGGGCGGGCGGCCCGGAGGGCGCGGGTGGCCTGCCCGCCTCCGACGCGCCCAGGTACGCTAGACGCCGCACCGCAGTTACCACCAGCGACCACAAGAATTGCGCCCTCGTCCAGACCCGCCTCAAGCTCGGCGACATCATGTGAGTTTTCATGGACTCTCGCTTATTTACATACAATACGATTTCATACCCATTTCAATGCCTTTACACGCAATTCGTGATAGTTGTACGATCGTACAATTAAGGTAATCCACTGGAAACAAAAAAAAAGGGGGGGGGGAAGAATCGATTTCTTTTCATTCTTAAACGACCCTTTGTCGACTCGTGTGACTTATGTTGACACACATTGGCTGCTACATGAAATTGGTAAAAGTCATTGGAGTGCAATAGTTTCAATGCCGAATTAAAATTAAATACGACCAAAGTGGCGCTAAAGTATATTGGTCGGCGAAGGGTGAATATTAACGACCCTTCGCTCGAACGTAACGAAGGACAGAATAAGCGTATGTGTCGTTACAAATTATTTACCCTCCACCGAATGATTATACACCGTCCCACTGAGCCCCTTTTGTTGGGCGCGTGGCGGGACCCACGCGTGTTGCAAAATAGAAACACAAAACGTCGCCTCGGTCTCAACAAGTGTTATTCCTCGGTACGTATACCCTCTCTTTGCACCACAACCGTCGGTGAAGATATAAACGGTAGATGAGCAGGAAATGAGCTTTTAAGGAGCTTTGGTACCACCTCGTTTGCGGGGAAAGGGGTAGGGTGCGCTTCTACTTTACCGATATTTTTTTAAGTTGGTACGGGTATAATTTTTCTTACAGATAATAGTAAATCTAATACTTATTTCAAACTAGAAACAGTATCATAATTATCTGTGATTCCGATCTATTTTTTTTTTTTTAAAAAAGATGGCTCCCATAAGAGGCTATGTTATTCTTACATATTTTGGTGATCAAATACTCAAAAATGGGATGGTAAAAAATTTTGAAAAAATTCACGTGGGCTTAGATTCGTTAATAGTATATCATATTACAATTTCGTGCAATTCTGCGATTTCCTTGTTTCTCTACCAAACCTCCTTAAATCTTGTACGTGCCGTCGGTAAAACCCCCGAGTATATATATTGTACCGACACAGGGCAAATAACTTACCGACGGTACAGTAAAGCAAAAAGCTCTCTCGCGTGCCGAGCTTGTGCAAGCTCACCCGGTGGAGCTTTCCGTACGGGAAGAGCTTTTATCGACCAACACCGACTCGTGTACCGTTTGACCTACACCCCCGCTCGATCCAGTCCGCAGATGGCGCCGGTGTCCCCGTACTTACTCCTGTTTCGTGTATTCAAACCAATGTATTGTATGCATAAATATATGTAAATATCATTAAATGTATCCAGTAGTGTACTGGCATATGTATATTCAATACGACGCCAATAAATGAATTAAATAAAAAAAAAATCCTGTTTCGTGTTCTTTGCGCGCGACTATACTTACGGAGAGGCCCGGCCGATCCACGTACACACTGGAAAAAGCTGCACCTGTACTGAGTGTACCATATGTATATGCGAGACATGGTTCAGCAAAGCGTTTCCATCTCCCGTTTGTGATGATGTATGGATATGTACACCCACGGGGCAAAGGTATCGATTGTTCTTCGATTGTTTGACCACCTCCAGCAGAGGGAGGGCAGCCCTTATTTTTAGCTCGACCCGCTCGTCCACGCGATCATACACACCCTACGTGTACGTGCGTTGATCGCACCCCCCCTAACCCCTATATGGCGCGTCCAATCAGCTTTTTCTTCTCGATAATGTGCTCCCGTATATACATACACATATGCGCGCGTGTGACTGTATACGTATTGCAGTGTACCTACGGAGGAATTTTAACCCGAGTATAGGTATTGCCGTGCGTTGCACCCCCCCCCCCCACATTGAGGCTCTCTGTGTGTACTCGGCGTCGACGTTTAGTGCACCCCTGACGACGACGATCCATAAAGACGTCGGGACGGAACGATACCGTACCCTCCTCACCGCCGTCGTTGCTCTGGCTGCTTCTTTACGGGGGGTCGGGAGGGTGGAAAAAGAGAGGGAGAGGCCGAAAAATCAATTCCCCGCGACCAAAGCCTCCCTCCCTTTCAAACATCCTCTCTGGTCTTTTCTTTTTTTTTTTTTTTTTTTTTTTTCCATGGTGTAACATACACATGCCTACCGTGTGCTTGCGCGGAGATAAAATTATATATATATATATATACCTCTCTTGGGTCGTACTGGGGAGTACTTTTTCTGTGAGATCGAGAGCTAAACAATGGGAGGGAGGGAGGGAGTCTCGAGTATTGTATGAAAAGTTGATGAAAGCTAGGCAGAGAAAGGAAAAAATTGGAAAGAGCGCGTCTGAGAGTCGGCGGATATAGTGGCTCTCTCTCTCTCTCCGAGACTTTTATGATATATACAATGGTGCACGGGCAAGGTGTACGGAGCGGGGTGATGGGGGGGGGTGGCGCCCGCGAGAGGAAAAAAAAAATAACAACAAAAGACACGCATGTGCTTCTATATATGCGTTTATATGTATGTAGAGCTGATACTCTGCCTCCCGTGGATGGGTAACTGCAGCCATATACGTGGAGTATAAATATATATATATATATATATATATACACACACACACGCAAGGGGGAGGCAGGGCCGGCGCGGTGCTGGTGGTGCCTCCGCCACTACCGCTGCTGCCGTGAATCAATACCCGCATTGCGCGTGCCAGCTCTATTGCCCTCTCCCTCGCTCGCGCGCTTGCCTCGGAATAAGAGAGAGAGAGAGAGGGGGGAGGAGCTTTCGCAGCGCAAGCTCACCTCTTTTTCCTCCTCTACTTCGTGTCTTGAGCCTCTTCTTCGTCACTCTTTGCTCAATGCACCTGATATATTGAAAGGAGTGAATGCATGTTTCCCCCCCCCTTTTTCTTTAGAGTAACAGGGTTGCCGGGACTCGTTGCTGCTTTTCGGCTGTGCGTGGGTGCGCGAGTCAAGAGCGCGGAAAACGAAAGCAAGTTTTAATCGCTGTTTAGCATTTTTTTTTTTTTTTGTCGGAACCTCTATTTTTTTTTTTTTTTTCCTCGGAATTCACGGAAATCTTGCCGTTTTATGATTCTTTCAACTACAACTCTCAATCAGGTGGACTCGCTTTCATTGTGTCTCGATGCTGAGGGCGCATTAAAAAACATTTTTCAATTTATCCAAATCTCGAGAAGAGTAATTTCTCTGGGATATGTTGGATAAATTCAATCGACATAGCAATTTTAAAACAAGTAGGTAAAAGCCACATCAGATAAATGCAGCCGAATATTGCTGTTGTACATTGAATATATGAAAAAACAAGAAAATCAAAACGCTTGCATTATAAAAACCAATGGGGTGCTAAATTAAGCGAGACTAATAGTATCTGAACGATAAAAAAAAAAAAAAAAAAAAGAGGAGACAAGCGAGTAGTAATTATACAAGTGGTTGAACGAGAGAAAGGCTCGGTGGGGAGCTTTTTTGCCCCAATCTCTCGTGTTTTTCATTTATTCGTGGTAAATAGAGAAAAGTGCGATGCGAGCGATTGAAACAGGAGCGCGAGCCTCCTCTTTCGTGCCTCAGTTCCATTCGATACATGGGACGTCGAGTTCGTGACACACGAAAGGGCGGAATAATTATACCAACGACTGTCGTCGACGAATATGTCAATAAACCGACACGATATTTGTCCCCCTCCTCTCTCATATCAATATTTTAAAAAAAGAAGAAAATGACGTACCTTTTTTTTTTCTCTCTCTCGGGCTCCGGAATAATAAAAAAAAAAAGAAGAAAAAAAATTGCTGAAATCGCACCGATAGGATCCCGAGAGACTTTCAACCTACATAGGCCGAGATGGATTTCTTTTTCACTTCGTTCCTTCCTCCTTAAAAATCTGCAGCACGGTCCACACTTCCGTGGCGACAGCTCTACTTGGGTACTAGTCTGCAACGATCGCGATCCGGAAAACCCTTCGTTAACCAAAAGGGCGAAAAGTAAACCGGAATATAAAGAGAGAGAGAGCAGATGTACATCCGATGACGACTCCTCCCGGAAGCTTATTTGGCTGAGGGAGATGAGCTCTCAAGGACTCGTATCCCAGAAAAAACGTGGTCCCCGAGTGTTTTTGCCACGCGATTAAAAAATCGCTTCTCGAAGAGGAGAAGGGGGGGGGGTAAAAGGATGCGAGAGCCACTGCACCACGTTGTATATGTACATGCACCTACTAAAAAATACATTTTCTCATTTCCTCCGCTCGCGTTCCCTCGCGCGCGCCTGCACATGTACACATATCTTTCCACACGTGCATCCATCGTCATTATAATGTACCCGCCTGTCTCTTTAATTAAAGTCTTTTATTGCGCTCCAAACGATCGCGTAAATTCTCTCCGGAGGCGGGTAGTTCTCGTAAACACGAGGGCCTCCTCTACCCCGACCCTCTCTATACAGACACGCCACAGATCGCTGTCACGAGTACACCTATGGGCACGGATGAAATTTAATTCAAACAAGCTCGCGACGCCCTTCTAAATATAAAATCGCACCCATCACGCAAGGTATGATCCAACCATATACGAGCACTCGTTATTTTATCGTAAGCGTATATGGCGCATATATGCATATAAAAGAGGGCGGATACACACACACACACACAGAGAGAGACGAGGTCGACAACAGCTGATGCAGCAGCGGGGGCGAGTTCGCGCGGCCAGCCGTATAGCGCAATGTGCATCGGACTTACGAAGCCCCACGCGGTGGAAACGCGTTTCGGAGCTAAAAAAAAAAGAAGAGTACATGTATATATGTATATGCGTATCGCAGCGGAAATTTCACTGCAAAGACGCGCCGGCGTCCTATATTTTTCGAGCTTGACCTTTTTTTTTTTTTTTTTTTTTTACCATGGCGTGCAAATGGAAATCGCATTACCCGGGGAGGCGTTGTAATAAAACATGTTATCCGCAGATACAGCTAGCCTGCGACTGCCCTACAAATTGATTGGATCGGGCCAGCGATGCGCTCGGCGATTAGAACAGTTTAATTTAATTTTTTTTTTGTTTTCAGCTGCCCTCTCGCCGAGGATGAGTTTATTCAATTTC